TATATATACAACAACAACAACTACTACTTCTACTACTACTACTACTACTACTACTACTACTGTTGTTGTTGTTGTTGTTGTTGTTGTTGTTGTTGCACTCTGTACCACAGCACATTCCAATAGTCAAAAACAGTTAAAATACAACCATAACATAATTACAATGATAAAACATATAGTTATCATTCAATAAGACAACAATCAAAATAACTATAATAACAATATAATGAGTAAAATACAGTAATTCTATCCTAATGATTGCCTGTATCCATGGTCAGCCCCTGTGGTTCCAGGTTGAACAAATACGTTTTTAGGTCTTATTTGAATTTATCGAACTCTGGTTCCACGCGAAGGTATTGCAGAAGGGAATTCCATAATTTTGGGGCCAGATGAGAAAATACTCTAAGTCTGGAGTTAGCCACCGTGGTCCAAGGGATTAGTAAGAGTCCAGAATCCGCAGATCAAGTCCTCCTACGAGGAATATGCCACCCCACCAGTTCTGTTAAATAGCTAGGGCAAGAAAGATGTAATTCTTTAAATGTCAGAACAAGAACCTTATAATATGTACTTGATCTGATGGGTAACCAGTGCAATGCTCTGTGGTGCTGGGAAATGTGAGAGTAGCGCAGCAGGTTTAGAACTGCTCGTACCACGCTATTCTGCACCAAGTTGGGAGGATGAAGTGCAGAAGAAGAGAGACCAGCTAGCAAACTATTCCAATAGTCCAGGTGTGAAACCACCAGGGCATGAACAAGAAGTTTTGTAGTCTCAAGAGTCAGGAAGCAACAAATTCGGTGAATATTGGCCAAATGGAGATTACACATCTTGGCTGTCCCATTCATAAATGGATGAAGTGACAGCCGATCATCCACCAAGATCCTTAGTCTCTAGGATCACTGAGCAGCCCTGGAGAGAAACAGAGGAGGCAGTCAAAGGGTGAGTAGGATGATCTGGGTAGAAGACCAGAACTTCAGTCTTGCCCATATTCAGTTTTAAATGGTGAGAGGACACCCACAAGGAACTATTTGACGAACAACCTGTCAAAGAAGTCCAGACCTTGTCATTAAACTCTTGAGTAAGACTGGTATACTTGGATATCATCCGAACAGAGATGATAATGAAAGCCCTGTTCAGAAATAGTGGTGCCCAGGGAAAGCGTATATAAAGGGCGGAAAAAAAGAATTGGGCTCAACACTGAACTTTGTGGGACACCAACAGAAAGAGGAAAAGGTTGAGAGGTTTTAGTACCCAACGATACTGAAAACGGACGATTTGACAAGTAAGAAGGGCACCAAGAGCTGGCACTTCCAGAGATTCCCAAAGAAGCCAGCCTCGTCAAAAGTCTTTGATGGTCAAGGGTGCCGAAGGCTGCTGACAAATCAAGCGGTGTAACAGCAAACTCGTTGCGCGTAGCCCGTGGACGGGCCTCTCCGGGTGCTGAGGGGTTAATCTTTCTCCCTCGTAATTTGTTTCCCTTTGCCAAAGTGGGTGTTGCTGGAATGTCTCTTGTAAGGCGTTTGGAGCCGGGCTGAGGCGGGAGTGGGGGGGGGCGCGCTGAGCCGTGTCCTCCGGAGCCGGGCGATGTCAGCATCAAAAAGGCACAAAAGGGGGGGAGGCTTCCAAAAATAAAACCCGGCCATCCCTTCGCGAGCCCGCCAGTGCCGGAGGGTAGGGGGGAAAAGTAAGCCTGGAGCTGTCGGTGGGCAGGGCACGCGCGCGTCCTGACAGCCGAGCAGGGCGAGTGGGGGAAGAGGAGGGCCGGACAGCCGGGGAGGGGGCTCGCCTTCTCGCCTTGCGGCCGCGGTGGGAGACCTTCCTAGCCACCCCGGCGGGGCTTTCTCTGCTTTAACGCCACAGCTGTCTCCCCTCCGAGCCCCCGAGCCCCCTTTTCCCCTCCAGAGAGAAGGCGGGACTGGCGGAGCCTCTTCTTTGGGTATCAAAAAAGATGTGAATGGCTTCGCAACGTGCGTGAGGAATTTACGCGGGCTGGCTGGCTGGCTGGCTGGGTCCTCTTGCCCTCGCCCGCTCGCTCGCCTCCAAACTCCGCGTTGCACTCTTGCCTATGAACGGTCCGGTCCTACGACCGAGCGCCTTCCTTCTCCGACCCGAAACCACCATGAGGGGCTCCGGTGGGTGTCTTCTCGCCTTCACCGTCGCCCTTTTGGCGGGCTTGAGTGCATGCCAGAGAGACTTCGCGGCCGGGCACTTTGAGCCGAGCCTTTCCTTCAGAACGGACGCCTGGAGCCGGGAGACCAGCCGGCTGCGGTTCTGGAGCCAAGGCAGTTCGGGGCCAACAAACAAGGTGTTTGGTCTGTTCCAGGCACAGAGTCCGCCTTCGGCTTCGGACAGGGGGGAGCCGGCGAGTTCTCAAACGGACGATGGCTGGCTGAGAAACCCAGCCGGGAGGGAACCCCGAAGGCCACCTTCTGCTCCGGCGCACGTCAGACCCCAGAGCAGCCACCTGGGGACCAAAGCCGATCTGCCTCCGGGCAGAAGTCTGAGTGGGACTCAGCCGCAGAGGCCCAGGATGGAGACCCCCAGCCAGGGGTTCCGAAACGGAGCCAGACCGCGGACAGCACCGCCACCCAGAAGGCTGCATCCCCGAGCCCGGACGGCCGGGTAAGTGCCGAGAGAGATTCTCCCTGTCAGGCCAGGTGCGTGCGAGATTTGACGGACGATTGCCCTGCCCTCGGAGCGGCGGAGCGGCGGGGTTGGCAGTTCTGCTGCCGGATTCCCCTTGAACAGGGAGGGCGTCTTGATCAACGCACAATCTCGTCGCACAGATCCTGTCCCAGAGAGGGCTTGCTTTCTTTAAAGGGGAAACTAGTATCTACACGTAGCTACATTTTGCATCGAGATACAGGCGACTTTCTCAGTTTCTGCCCGAGGCATAGCCGAGTGGTCCATATGTTCCTAAGCAATTCTGTTACCTACACTTGCAGGAAATCTCAGGGCCCATCACAAATTATAAAAAAAATACATCACCAGTACTGTAGTTCAGCATAGTGTTCACATATCCTGAGCAGAAACCATCAGACACCAACAAATGCATTTAAAAGGGGGCGAATATGACATTTCGTCCTTTGAATTTTTGTTCATGATGTTCACTGTATATTCACATTCATCTTTGTGCATACATGAAGAAATCCAATTTAATTCAATTTTTAATCTTAATCTGTGTGATCTACTGCACTTGTCAACTTTTGGGTGTGGGGTGTGAGGTGTGGGTGCTTGCCAATTGTGCATTTGTGTTATTACCGTTCTTGTGTTGATCTTATAGATCAGTTCACTTTTTAGAAGTGGGTGATATCCTGTTGCAGGTTCCTGGATCTTTCTTTCTCACAGTCAGATTCTGATATGCTTCATTTCCAGCTTCATATTCATAGAATTAAGGGTCCATCTCATTAGTTACCTGGCAGACTCATTTCTGTCTTTGACTGTAGAGCCAAAAATGCCTTTAAACTGGTCGTTTTAAGGGAAAATTAGATTCTGATATAGCCATTGTAACAACAAAATAGTAGTAAGAAAAGCCCTGCTCTGTGAGTGCCAAATATTTTGAGGCTCAGAAGGGCATTGGTCCAGATTCAGAGACTGCTCAAGATCCAGTTGTTTGGATGCAACTTGATGGCAATGTATAGCAACCTTAATAGGGACTGCTCTAAAAATAACTTACAGACATGCTCATGGTTATTGTATTCAGAATCACTTTGAGGTGGAGACAAGGAAAATTACTTTTCTGGGATATGACTACCAGATTATTCCAAGCAGCCTGGCCAATGGGATTCTGGGAGTCCCAAAAAGAAACTGTTTCCAGCTATGCTCCTGGGGCACCGTTAATATATATAATAGAGATGATTGCCAGATTTAGCATCTGTTACTACCTGTAATTCATGAAGTTTCCACCAGTTGGAGGCAACTTGATGACAGATAACAGATAACCTGTAACTGTTGCATCTTTTCTGCATATCTAAACAGACAAATACTCTTGAGGATTTAAGTCAACAATGAGACCAGCCAGAGAAAAATATGCAAAGTTACAATGACTCCATAAAGTCACTGAGCCAGAGAGAATGGAAGGAAAGTTCATTTCATTTAGGCAGAGGTATAGCCACATGCAACATATATCAATGGAAAACGTTTTCCTTATTTGAAGGGAGAGAGTTTTTTTCTTAATGTAATGAGACACCATAACGTAGCAGCCTTTAAAATAGAGATGGACAAATTCAAGTTTCTCACAATTTTTTCCTATTTCCAGTCTCAAGGTTATTTTGTCAGATTTCCAAATAAGATTGCGAATTTTGTGGAAGCCATTAGAAAATTGGCACACATTTCCCCCAAACGATATATTTGCCTAACATAATTCATTTTATTTTCAGTGACATACAAATGTGTGCCTACATTTCCCCAATATAGAAATTATGTATTTTTGATGGGAGAATAATATCAAAATATTCAGAACAATGTAAGAAGTAAAGGAAAACTACATTGCAGTTCTTCTACTAGATTGGAAAGTGTGAACTTGTATATTCATATTAACATTTGAGTGGAATGGGGCCAGTCTTAAAGGTGGGCAAAATGAGATGTCACCTGAGGCACTAAGCTGAGCTGAAGTGGACTCCCAGCTGAGCAAAGAGTATCCTAAGCTAAACCAGGGTGCCCAGCTCAATGAATGGCTCACCAGACTCAGCTGAATAGCTGTGTGAGTGTTCGGTCTTTAGTGATCTATTGACAAAGAAAACCTGTAGTCTTTTTCCAAGGTTCTACACATTGTTTGCGTACAAAAGTGGTTGGCCTATAAGACAGATGTAAGCAAAGCAAGTGCACTGCTTATATACTGACCCACTCTCTGGGATGTTTACAATATAATTGTGCAGGTTACAAATTCCCTTCTGGGAAGTTTACAATATAATTATGCAGGTTACAAATTCCCTCCCCCCAAGTGAGTTGGGTACTTGTCTCAAGTAAAATCTGAAGTGAATCTAGAGTGAATCTGAAGTCAGTTACCTGAGTCTATCAGGATCAAACTCAGGTCACGAGCAGAGTCCTGACTGCATTATGGGGGCTCAGCCACTGAGCCCTAAGGCTCTTAAGCTTGGTCACATGGTTACTACGGCTCCATATTTTTTTAAGTCTTAAAGAAGCACAAAGGGAAGAGGACTGAAGAACAAGCTGCAGCCTCAAAGACTGTAGGAGTCTGGGGATAAGGTCTCTTTAAGGCCAGTTACATCACTCCGGTAGAGAGTGTAGAGAGGAAACTGTTTTAAGGCTCAGAAAGGAGAGCTTGTGGGAGGAACCATTTTGTGATCTACTGAACATAATAAAGATTATAGGCCTATACCTCCATGAGACCTAGGATTCTATAAAATCCATCCTGCCCCACATACAAGTGACTACACTGAAGTTCTAGATTTGGAGCAGGAGAGTGATGAAAGAGGAGCAGTAAATAAGAAATAGCTCACTCTGAACCTTTTTCATAGTCATTATTAGGGGAAAGCAGTGGAAATAGCAGATTTCATTTATTTTCACTATTTATGTTTTCCAGTTCTGTCCAAGCCATATAACTGCCTGAGATTTCATCTGCTGTTCTAAAGCTTAACTAACCTTGTGAGTGGCAACTTTTCTGACAAGGTGCTACTAGAAGTAATTTTTGGTGTCACTCACTACAGGGAAAGATGTAGGAATGGTATGAGACCAGACCTTAAGGAAGGAATTGTTTCTGCATGTACAGTGGAGAAGGTCTGAACCAGAAGATCTATGGGATGGAGCCCTAGGAACAGAACAAAGTTGTACAATAAGGAGTTTGGAATTTTAAAGAAACCCTTAAGAAAAATGCAGCCCAGTCCCTATTCCCTTGTGCCCATACAGTAAATGAAAAAAAGGAAGTCCATTTATTCTATTTGACTCTGGGGTGAGAGGAGCCATAATCAAGAATGCTCAGCTATTCTGTGCATACAATAATGTTGCATGTGGCTGCCCACATGCGTGCATCCTCATGAAGGACAGCAGCAGGGCCTCCAACATTAAATACACCCCAGCCCCCTGTAAATCTTCTGGATGGCCCTGCTAAGCAGATAATGGGGACAGGAAACATTGAAGAAGACAACCTTTGCCCAGAACACTATTTATCCTTGGGCTGGCCATATACAAACTCTATGTAGCTACTTCTCTCCAAAGCTTGGAAGGAAAACTTAACATATGATTACTGTTTCCAGAATCTTCCAGCCAGCAAGGCTAGTGGTCATAATGGCTGGGAGAATCTGGGAACTGTAGTTCAACAAACAGTAACTTTCCCAAAGTCTGTTACTGTACCTGGGAAGCATGTTATATTTGAACATAAGTTTCAGGAAGTACCTCTTCATGCACATCACACAGATACATCACACAGTCAGACAAACAAGGGAATATTGTGCAATAATCGGTGCCTTGTGAGACTGGATGTCACCCAATAATTTCTAGGAAGCTGGGCAATCAAGTGTGAGAAGTTACAGACAGCTACCCCTTTTGAAAAACATGTACGAGGTGGAGTGGGGGTCAGCTAATTTCAGAACACATTACAAAATCAGCCTAATGAGTCTAACACATTATATAACACAAAAATTATTTATGGTGAACAGGCAAGCAGTTCAGGGGCTGCTGCATTTCAGGAACTATTTTGCAGATCAATGGTAAAAGTAGACACACTGGAATTACAAATACAAAGATACATGATATATATGCAAATGTCTATGGCATTATGCCTTCTACATCATTCACTCTTTGCATTTCCCCACCCTTCCTCTTTCAGTGTATTTTCTGTTAAAACTTACAGTAGCAAGGAGTCTACAGTATTCTATTTATCACTCCCACTACTGTTTTTATTCTTTTATCATTTACTGCTTTTACATTTTTGTTTCTTTGGATCCTCCATATATTTCTCAAACTCACCTGCTATCCAATATCCTTCACGTGATTTGCAAAGCTTTTTAAAGAAGCCAATTGAAGCTTATACAGCATAAATGGCAGGTATCTGAACTCTCTCTGAAGGGCAGGCTACTGGGTTGAGGGGGACCATGGGCATGGGAGACAAATGTTCTCGATTGATGGACCGCTTTAAGCTTGCCTGGGCACACATATAGCAGCACACTGACCAATGCTATTCAGAGTTCCATGTAGCTGAGATATCAATTTACTTAGATCAGAGCATGCCAGGCCCTCCTGTCTTCCACTGCCTCCCAGAGTTGGGTCAAATTCATGTTGGTACTGTAGCTTCAGTGACATTGTCCAACCATCTCATCCTGTGTCGTCCCCGTCTCCTCTTGCCTTCACATTTCCCCAACATCAGGGTCTTTTCCAGGGAGTCTTCTCTTCTCATGAGATGGCCAAAATATTGGAGCCTCAGCTTCAGGATCTGTCCTTCCAGTGAGCTCTCAGGGTTGATTTCCTTCAGAATGGATAGGTCTGATCACCTTGCAGTACAGGGGACTCTCAAGAGCCTCCTCCGGCACCACAATTCAAAAGCATAAATTCTTTGGCGGTCAGCCTTCTTTATGGTCCAGCTCTCACTTCCATACAACACTACAGGAAAAACCATAGCTTTGACTATTCGGACCTTTGTCGGCAAGGTGATCTCTCTGCTGTTT